GAGCTGAGTGGTTGCAGTGAGCCAAGTTCATGCCACTGCACTCCAGCCTGGGCAATAGAGGGAGGCTCAAAGAAAGCAATCTAAAGAACAATACCTCAGAACAGGTTAGGAATTGTTCTACAGAAGGATGTGAACATGATACTAAAAACAAAAGGATTGGTCAAATGATTTAAGTATCCTCCCACACTCCACAAAACCAGCCAACTGTCCCTTACTCATCCTTACAGAAACCCAGAGCCTTCCTCTCTAAACTAGAATGACACAGCCCAATAAAATTTCTGCAATGATAGAAATATTCTATATTTACTCTGTCCAATATGGTAGGCTCTCGGCAAATGTGGCCACCGAGCACTTGAAATGTGTCTAGTGCAACTGAGGACCTAAACCTTTAATTTTAATTATTTAGATTTAAGCTGCTACTTGTAGCTAGTGGCTACCATATTGGATAGTGGATTCCTATACTGGAAAGCTTTTCAACTGGTCCAGCTGAGAATAGGTCATCTTTCTGAAAACAGTTGAGTTAAATGAAAATGAATGAGTGTTTAAATAATGAATGCTAAGACCTCTAGCTTTTCTCTCAGTTTAGCAACTAGACAGCTGGAAGCCTGCTTTGTACTCTCCAAGCAGGAGATCCCTTCTTCTTTAGGGAATCTGACCCTGGAGCAAAGACAAAAGAAATTGCCATTGAAGATTCTCAAATAAAACAGTCCAGTAATTAAAAGCAACTTTCACATGGGTTTCCTTAACATTTCTGTCCCTGTATTCACAGCCATGCTGTTATGTTTACATTGATCAAATAGCAACATTCCTTCAAAAATAAAATGCACACACCTATAGGGACTAGAAGTGAGCTTTACATTCTTGTTAGACATTCTCCAACTCCAGGACAGCCCCAAGCCTAAGCAACCCCTTAAGTAGCCCAATATTTGGGTGAAAGTTTGTAGCGCAGCCACTGTACAAGTTAACTGAAGCTTCACTATGAAAAAGTTGTATCAGCCAAGTGTGGTGCCTCATGCCTGTAATCCTAACACTTTGGGAGAACAAGGCAGGCAGATTGCTTAAATCAATCTGCATTCCAACTTCCAAATGTTTTTACTGTTGTTCTGTCTTCCATTTTGTGTACATATGCTTTAAAAAACAAAAACCCTTAACATCTATGTATTTCACTGTATGTAATTTTTTGTTTTTCTTTTCTTTTTTTTTTTTTTTGAGACTGAGTTTCGCTCCTGTTACCCAGGCTGGAGTGCAATGGCGTGATCTCGGTTCACTGCAACCTCCGCCTCCTGGGTTCAGGCAATTCTCCTGCCTCAGCCTCCTGAGTAGCTGGGATTATAGGCACGCGCCACCATGCCCAGCTGATTTTTTGTATTTTTAGTAGAGACGGAGTTTCACCTCCCAAAGTGCTGGGATTACAGGTGTGAGCCACCAGGCCCAGCCCTTTTGTTTTTCTTTTAAGAGAATCTTGATTGTCGCCCACGCTGGAGTGCAGTGGCCCGGTCTAGGCTCACTGCAAACTCCACCACCCAGGTTCAAGCGATTCTCCTGCCCTCGGCCTCCTGAGTAGCTGGGACTACAGGTATGTGCCACCACACTTGGCTAATTTTGTATTTTTAGTTGAGACAGGGTTTCACTATGTTAGCAAGGCTGGTCTCAAACTCCTGACCTTAGGTGATCCGCCCGCCTCAGCCTCCCAAAGTGTTGGGATTACAGGCATGAGCCACCGAAGCTAGTCGTAATTACATATTTAAAAAATTAAGTTAGCTGGGCATGGTGGCTCATGCCTATAATCCTAGCATTTTGGGAGGCCGAGGGGGGTGACTCACAAGGTCAAGAGATTGAGACCATCCTGGCCAACATGGTGAAACCCCGTCTCTACTAAAAATACAAAAATTAGCTGGGCGTGGTAGTGCATGCCTATAGTCCCATGCTAAGGAGGCTAAGGCAGGAGAATCACTTGAACTCAGGAGGCAGAGGTTTCGGTGAGCTGAGATCTCACCACTGCACTCCAGCCTGGACAACAGAGCAAGATTCCATTTCAAAAAAAAAAAAAATTGGGAGCTGCGGTGGCTCGGGCCAGTTGTCCTGGCGCTTGAGGAGGCGAGGCTATGAGTTCAAGGCCAACCTGAGCAACATAAGAAGTTCTCATTCATTAACAACAACAACAAAAAAATTAAGTTAAAAATATTATTCAAAATTTTCATCTCAAGTAGTTCCAGAGTCAGAAGACTGCCTCAAGAGCCAGTGACTTCTAATCTTTACTTTTTGCTAGGCTGTTACTACTCCATAGCCCTGCTTTGTTTCAATGTTAAATCTGTAGTATCAGTTTAGACTGAAACTGTAACCATGAGTTCATACCAACCCTTCATATATACCCCTACTTCTTTCCTGTCAGAAATATGGAAAGTTTCCTGTCAGAATCTGAAATTCAACATCAATTCATCAACCTCAGAGTTAAGGTATTTCAGACACAAAAATAAAATTTTAGAGATTCAGCTATTTGGTTTTTCAGATACATACCAGGTCTCTGTAGACTCTGAATATATTAAACTACCTATGTTACCATGACTTTAAATCAGTGACCTTAGGATGTCTTTTATCATCTGGTTGTAGAAAATCAACACAAGGTCCAGAGATTGAGACCATCCTGGCCAACATGGTGAAACCCCATCTGTACTAAAAATACAAAAATTAGCCAGGCGTTGTGCCGGGCGCCTGTGTTCCCAGCTACTTGGGAGGCTGAGGCAGGAGAATTGCTTGAACCTGGGAGGCAGAAGTTGCAGTGAGCTGAGATCGTACCATTGCCCGCCAGCCTGCGCAAAAAGAGCAAAGCTCCATATCGGTAAAGAAAGAAAGAAAAGAAAACCAACATGCTATGAACATGGTCATTTTAGAGAAAAAAAAAATTAGCATCTTTGGAGAATCTGCGATGTAGGGTCCATTTCTGGCTCTACCAATAACAGAATAGGAATTGCTAAAGCAATGAGAAGGCTACAAGAGAATAATTTGAGAATGAATACATTTTCCCAAAAGAGAATGTTCAACTCAGCCTGATGGCCTATTTACCTTAATTTTGAAAATATTACCCATATCCCAAAAAAAGTCACAAGAGTTTCATCATAATGGATAAGAAAAGTACATGTCAAACACTGTGACCACCTTATCAGTTGACCCTTCCTAGAGCATCTACCAAATTCTTTAAATCAGTGACAGAGTACAATTTAACAAAAAGAAAAATGAACTAAAAATTCACAAAGACATGCTTAATATCGAGAATGCCAAGGTGATCTACTTCAATAAGATGTTTGTATGGCAACTAGAGAAACACAGAACCCCCTGTTCTCAAACTGAGCTCCACAGGAAGCTGGCTAATAACACAAAGTAAATGGTCATGCATACCAGGATGGAAGACGGAAAGGCAGGCCTGTGTAGAGTACTGGGTTTATGACAAGCTAGAATGAAAGCAAGATATTCTTAAATTTCAATTTTTCTATGATTTTTGAAGGATTCACATAATAACAAAAAAAAAAAAAAAAAAAAGCCTGATTTATAAAGTGATACAGGCCGAGTGCAGTGGCTCATGTCTGTAATCCCAGCACTTTTGAGAGGCCAAGGCGGGCAGACCATTTGAGGTCAGGAGTTCGAGACCAGCCTGGCCAACATGGTGAAACCCCGATTCTACTAAAAATACAAAAATTAGCTGGGCGTGGTGGCAGACACCTGTAATTCCAGGTACTTGGGAAGCTGAAGCAGGAGAATCTCTTGAACCCAGGAGGTGGAAGTTGCAGTGAGCGGAGAAGACCATGCCACTGCACTCCAGCCAGGGTGTCAGAGTGAGACTCTGTCTCAAAAAATAAATAAGTAATTTTTTTTTTTTTTTTAAAGTAAGAGTGAACCAGGGTGTAAATGAAGCCTCCCTCCCTATCACTCTCCTCTACACTCCTAGAAAAGATCACCTGGGAAAAAGCTATCTTGAGTAATGATCAAAACTGATTTAAGCCATCCTTCATAGAACCAATAACGTGCTATCAACAAGAGTGAGACATGCAGATGGCTAGGAGGCTGTCTCCTTTCTTCCTGATGCTGCCCACCCAAAGCAGAGGCTGCAGTTAGGCTCTGACCACACAAGAGCCTGGCATCTCCGGCACCCTTCTCCATACCAAGCTTAGTTATTCCGGGCAAAATGCGGGGGAGGGGAACACTTAGGAACCTTTCATGAAGTCTTCTGGATATTCTTAATCATATTCTCAAAACATTTCATAACTAACGTCTGCTTTCTGCATTTAATTCTCCCAACATTATAATTTATATTGATAGAAGAAAGTCCCAATTTACATGCGGTGAAAAAGGTCGAAATGTCTAGCATGAGATGAAAAACACTACCAGACAGCAGGGTAGGATTTCACCTCGTCTATTCTGGCTCTAAGTCCAAAACTCCCACATCCTCTCTGCATCCCTCTTCCCACGACAGAGTGGCCACTGGGCGTAGAGCGGGGGCTGATACCGCCCAGCGCAGACAGAAGAGAAAAGACGGCTCCCGCCGCGCTCATGCCCAGCCAGGCTCTCTGGAAAACGGTCCTGGGAGCTCGGGGGAAGGAATCAAGGCCAGAAGGAGGCAGGGCAGTCCGAGCAAATAAAAACCCTGGACTTCCAAGGCGGCCCGAGCTGGAAGCCTGTGACAGCCGATTCTCTTCCCAGAGCTTTCAAGGCTTCAGGAGGAGCTGGGGGTGGGGGGGACGGCGCCAGCTTCCCGGTGCCTCCGCTGCACAGCCCGGCTGGAGCGAGAGAGCAGGGCAGCGGCCCCTCGGGACGAGCTCGCGCGCCTCCCCCGAAAAGGCACGCTGTGGCCGGGACGGACAGAGGCCTCCGGCTCGGGCGGGGGGAGGGCGACTTGAGGCCTCCCGGCCCGGCGCTGAGGTGGCGCGCAACGGCGCGGGAATGGCCAGCCAGCCCAGCCAAGCGATCGCTACGTCCGGCACTCGGCCGCCCGCGCCCCCACTTACCTGCCCCCTCGCTCCCGGCACCTGTCCCGCCGCCGGCCCCGACGCGGCAGCAGCCTGGACCGCAGGCCCCGCCTTCGCCAGCTCCAGAGGAAGCCCAGCCAGCGAGTAAACGTCCGGCCTGCTAGCCGCGGCCACCGCCGCCGAGCTTCCTCTGAAGCCGCTGTCGCGACGCCGGCGCTGGCCTACTGCGTCACCTCCTCCGTGCCCTTCCGCCTGACGGGGGGGGGGGGGGGTCCTGGCACCGCCCCGCTTCCGCTGTTCCGGCCCCGCCTCCCGGCCCGGAGCCGTTCCGCCTTTGCGTGTCACAAAGTCCCCGGCCCAGGTCTCCTTCGGAACGCGCCCGGATGAGAGCTGCGTTCCAGTGCTGCGAAGCGCCTATGAGAGTTCTGATCAGCTCCTTCTCCAGTTTTTAACCCCAAAGGGCTAAATCAGACCGCAGCTAGTGTACACCCCTGCTCTTCCCTGATCCCGTCACCGCTGAGCCGAAAGCAAAAGACCCATTCCAGCTCGGGACGTTGTGAGGCCTGGCCCAGGCGTCCGTCTCCTCTCTGGTTTTCCCATTGATCTTGCCCCCGGTATTGTGATTGGCCTCTTTAAGTGTCCTACCCGACCCAATTGTGAATGCTTTCCAAAATTATAAGCCAATGTCCCGATAGGTAAAAACATAATAATAGAAGATTTATGGCAGAAGATGAGTTCAGTTTTGGACATACTCCATCTGGAAGAATAAAGTGGAGGTGACTGCAATGGAATACGAAGGGTGTTCCTGAGCACCTGTGTAGGCAATAAAGCTATAAATTGATGGTGGAGAAGATAAAAGCTATAGTTGGCCTGGAACCGTGGCTCGCCTGTAACCCCAGCACTTTGGGAGGCTGAGGCATGCGACTCACAAGTTCAGGAGCTTGAGACCAGTCTGGCCAACATGGTGAAACCCCATCTCTGCTAAAAATACAAAAATCAGCGGGGCATGGTGGTGCTTGCCTGTAATCCCAGCTACTTGGGAGGCTGAGGCAGGCAAATCACTTGAACCAGGGAGTGGGAGGTTGCAGTGAGCCAAGATCGTGCCATTGCCCTCCAGCCTGGGAAACAGGGCGAGACTGTCTCAAAAAAAAAAAAAAAAAAAAAAACATAGTGAAGCCAACTGCAGGATGGTTTGCTTTTTTAATTATCACCATCTGTCAGAAAATTCTAAAACAATGTTAAAGTACTCCTTTCCAAACAAAAGCTTTGTTTAGTTTTAGTTATAAACAATTACTGTTGATTTTTTTCTTTTCTTTTTTTTTTCTTTTTTTTTTTTTTACCCCAGACAGGGTCTTGCTCTCTTGCCAAGCTGGAGTGCAGTGGCACAATCTGGGCTCACTGTAACCTCTGCCTCCTGGGCTCAAGCAATCCTCCCACCTCAGACTCCAGAGTAGCTGGGACCACAGGCTCCTGCCATGTTGCTGGACTAATTTTTTTAACTTATTATTATTATTATTTTTATTATTTTTGAGACGGAGTTTTGCTCTTGTTACCCAGGCTGGAGTGCAATGGCGCGATCTCAGCTCACCACAACCTCCGCCTCCTGGGTTCAGGCAATTCTCCTGCCTCAGCCTCCTGAGTAGCAGGGATTACAGGCACGCGCCACCATGCCCAGCTAATTTTTTTTTTTTGTATTTTTAGTAGAGTCGGGGTTTCACCATGTTGACCAGGATGGTCTCAGTATCTTAACCTCGTAATCCACCCGCCTCGGCCTCCCAAAGTGCTGGGATTACAGGCTTGAGCCACCGCACCCAGCCAACTGCTTCTTGTTATTATTTTTGTAGAGATGATGTCTCCCTTTGTTGCCCAAGCTGGTCTTGAATCCCTGGGCTCAAGCAGTCCTCCCACCTGGGCCTCCCACAGTGCTGAAATTACAGGTGTGATTACAGGCCACGCCATGCCTGGCCCTCTCACTTCTTTTTAAGAGTTTCTCTTTGTCAATGATTTTTAGCCATTTATTTTGTGCCCTATCTTGGTTTTCCTTGTATTTACCTGTCTTGGATGTCATTGAGCTTCTCTGATTTGTGGCTTGATGTCTTTCATCAGTTTTGGGAAATTCTCAATCATTATCTCTTCAGATAAGGCTATTGCTGTATTTTCTATGCCTGTTCTTCAAGACATCAATAACCATATGTAAGATTATTATTATTATTATTTGAGACAGAGTTTTGTTCTTTTTGAATGCAATGCTGCAATCTCACTTCACTGCAACCTCTGCCTCCTGGGTTTAAGCGATTCTCCTGCCTCAGCCTCCTGAGTAGCTGGGATTACAGGCACCCAACACCACGCCCAGCCAATTTTGTATTTTTAGTAGAGACGGGGTTTCACCATGTTGGCCAGGCTCTCAAATTCCTGAGTTCAGGTGATCCACCCGCCTCGACCTCCCAAAGTGCTGAGATTACAGGCATGAGCCACCACACCCAGCTCATATGTAAAAATATTTGACCTTGTTCGCCATGTCTTTTACACTTTAACTGAGTCTATCTGCTATAATCTCCAACCTGCTGTTAAATCTATACATTGAGTTTTTATTTTAAATACTAGATTTTCAGATTTTTTTTGTTTTGTTGTGTTGTGTTTTGTTTTGAGGCAGAGTTTTGCTCTTGTTGCCCAGGCTGGAGTGCAGTGGCACAAACTTAGCTTGCTGCAACCTCTGTCTCCCAGGTTCAAGTGATTCTCCTGTGTCAGCCTCCCAAGTACCTGGGATTACAGGCGCCTACCACCATGTTCAGCTAATTTTTTGTATTTTGAGTAGAGATGGGTTTTTGCCACATTGGCCAGGCTAGTCTCAAACTCCTGACTTCAGTCAATCCCCCCACCTCAGCCTCCCAAAGTGCTGGGATTTCAGGTGTGAGCCACCGTGCCCAGCCTAGATTTTTAGTTTTACAATTTGATTTGTAGCCAGGCACCATGGCTCACGCCTATAATCAGTACTTTGGGAGGTCCAGGTGGGCAGATTGCTTGAGTCCAGAAGTTTGAGACCAGCCTGGGTAACATGGCAAAACCCTGTCTCTACTAAAAATACAAAAAAAAAAAAAAAATTAGCTGGGAGTGGTGGCATGCACCCCTGTAATCCCAGCTACTCGGGAGGCTGAGGCAGAAGAATTGCTTGAAACCAGAGGTAGAGGTTGCAGTGAGCCGAGATTGAACCATTGTACTCCAGTCTGGCCAATAGAAGTGAAACCCTGTCCCAAATAAATAAACAAACAAACAAAATAAAATTTGATTTGTTTTTGCAAATTCTTTTTATAGATTCTAGTTATCTGTTGAAAGTCTCCATCTTCTCATCCATTTTAGTTTTTTTTTTTTTTTTTTTTTGAGATGGAGTCTTACTGTGTCACACAGATTAGAGTACAGTGGTGCAATCTCGGCTCACTGCAACCTCCATCTCCCAGGGTCAAGCTATTCTCTTGCCTCAGCCTCTCCCATAACTGGGATTACAGGCCCATGCCCCCACACCCGGCTAATTTTTGTGTTTTTGTAGAGACAGGGTTTTACCATGTCGACCAGGCTGGTCTCGAACTCCTGACCTCGTGATTTGCTGTCCTTGGCCTCCCAGAGTACTGGGATTACAGGCATGAGCCATCACATTCAACCCTAGGTATTTAATAGAAAAACCTTGTAGATCTTTGTCTCCTCAATCCTGAAAGACTACAGGACTTTCAGTTCATTCCTTTAGAGACTTTGAGCTTAGTTTAACATTGAGCTTAGCTTCTAGTTTATTCAGCTTCAAAATATGAGAAATATCTTGAGGGAGATACTAGCCACGAGTTTGAGGAAGCCATATCCTTCTAATGGGGCTTTGTTTCCTAAACACAATGATTTTGCTTTTGAAAAGTTTTGAGCCAATCCCTGAGCCTCCCAAGCAGGTCTTCAACTCAGCAAATATCCCACATGAAAAATCAATCATGCTTTTGGGACTTTTCTAATTTTCAATCAGTTCAGTAACCCCAAATGACCACAAAGCTCTTCTGGGTTTTCTTTGCCCCAAAAAACTCCTCTGCCTATGTTGAGTGATCTAAAATTAGCAAATGTTTCCACAAAAAAAAAAAAAAAAAAAAAAAAACAGCTAGTTATTATCAATTCACCTTGGAAGGGCTTCTTCTTGTCTGGAATTTTAGTTTAGTTAATCCTTGAAGCCAGGTATCGCGGTTTATGTCTATAATCCGAGCACTTTGGGAAGCCAAGGTGGGAGTGTTGCGGGAAATCAGGGAACCAGAGAGACCTATGAGGTTACAGGAGGATTTATTTAAAGTGTACAGAGGCTCAGTGGATTTGCATCCAAAGGACTGAGCATCGGACAAAGAGGGCAAGTGCCTTTTATGCATCTAAGGGCGTGAAAAGAAGCAGGCTTGCAGAAGCGAGAACAAAAGAAGTTAATCAATATAGTGACAGGCTTACACATGACTCTTGGTATGTGGGCCAGGTGGCCTTATCTCGAACCTAGGCTGGTTCACTCTTGCCTCCTTTTTGATGTCTAGGGAGCCATCCTGTTTGGACATTTCTCATGGCCTTCATTGTGTTATTTAGATAGAAAACAGGCTTGCAATACACAGATATCTATAAATTCTTAGGCTTACTCATATCATGCGGGTAGGGATGTAGGAGAAAATCTATGCTTTTCTCCAGATGGTGAGGGAGTATTGGGAAAGTCTTCAGAGCACATTCCCTCAAGCTCTGGCTTCTGAGATAACGATATCAAAGCTCCTCAGAGCCTAGGCTTATAGACTGTCTTCAATTTAACGTAGGAACTTACTTTTATGTGACTTTATTTATTTATTCTTTCATTTCCCTGCCTCATTCCCCCCCATTGATGCTTCCTGTGAGTAAAAACTCAATAGAAAGCATCACTTCTATTTAGTTCTTCATGACAGGGCGGGTCTTCTGTTGTAGGTAAAGACTGATATTTCATAGGAGCCATCAGTCGGGTTGTGGTTGTTTTGTCTACTAAAACTTCTATAGTAGACTGAACGCTTCTAATAATAAGGGGCAAGAGACAAGAGAGTATTAAGCAATTCCCTAATACAGCCAGCACTACTCCCATTAATGTTTTAAAACCACCAAAGGGTGAAAACCAACCTCCAAAAAGGGAATCTGGAAACCATCCAGGTTTCCAAGTCTGAACTGGAACATGAGCTAATTTTTGCATCTTCACAGTAATTTCCATGATAGTTTTTCTA